TCTAATCCGGACATCATGATATAAACTCCTGGAATGCATCATTGAAAACCAAAAGAGGATCAACGAGCTGTTTCTTTTTATTGATTTTTGCTTCATGAGAGAAAATCAGAAAAACAAGATGATGAAATTATCTTTGCATGCATGCAATGATACCTTTTCCTATTTCACCAAGTATATTGTCTGTAGGAACAAAGCAATTTTCAAAAACAAGCTCGTATCTGAGATCCAGAAGATAAGATAAAGATTGTTACATTTATTAGAGAAGAGAGACATTGAAAGTAGCCGGAATTGAATACATACGTAGGACTTCCACGCATTCCAAGTTTATCTAATTTTTGGGCAGCAATGAATCTGTATATCGAATGTAAATTACACAACAAGCAGTAGATTAGTGAGAGATCAAGAAAATATTAACGTTTTCTACACTTAGAGCTGCATGCATAAACCATAAGAACCATAATTAAGGCCATCCACAATGGGGTTGAATGGCCATGTAAAGGTTCAATAGAATTCTAATGGAAATTTATGAATTTTTTAAGAATTGAATTCTCTTTTCTACTTGGCATTTCATACAACTCTCCATTGGTTTAATCCATTAGAGTACGTACCCAGGCGTTCCTTTTTCAACGATAAACGCTGTTATCCCTTTTGATCCAGCAGAGGCATCTGTTTTTGCGTAAACCACCTAATCAAATAAACTCTCATCAGTTTTGGACTTTGACCAATTAATTAAGTAGGAGTAGGAACTATATAAAAGTATTAAGCTCGATATACTCTTACCAGGGTGTCGGCAATTCCGCCATTGCTGCACCACATCTTGTTTCCATTTAAAACATAACCACCATCAACACGTTCAGCTTTACATTTCATCCCAACAGGATCGGAGCCAGCTGATACCATGCATGCATAAACACATCCATCGTTAATTGTAGAAGCATTAACATAATCTGAAATCTTAAGACCAGCAAAATACATATATATGCATGTATGTACCATTTGGTTCACTCATAGAAAGAGCTCCTACATGCTCCCCGCTAATTAGCTTTACAACAAAATTAATCGACAAATTAGAATCTAGCTAGCTAAAAATATGTACGATGTCAAAATTAAACCACGTATACCTTGGACAAATATCTTTCCTTCTGGGCACCATTTCCATGCCTCACCTTCAAGAACAAAAACACAATAACGAAGTTGTTAATTGCTGAAAAATATTCGTATCTTCTAAATGTAACTATCTTAACAATTAAGTTAATAATTGTATTAATTAACTTGGAATGTTTAATGCAGGAAAATGTAGGTTAATGAAAGGAAAAGTGAGTGGATCATTTTAAATCCTTGTGTTGTAGAAGCAATCAAGCAATATATATATATATATATATATAATATATATATATACTATATATATATATATATATATATATATATATATATATATCTATATAGATATAGAGAGAGAGAGAGAGAGAGAGAGAGGAGGGTTCAATTGAGAAAAAAAAAGGTTGAGAATAGGGGAATCATTCTCAGCCACTCATTTATCTATGCTAAACATTACCTTAATAGACATGCTAAACATTACCTTAGCAATCAAGCAAAATAGACATGTGTTTTCCAACAAAACATGTTTCCTTAATCTATGCTAAACATTATCTTAATATATACAAAAACATAGTTTTTTCGTTTTTTTTAATTTTTAAGACGCTTTTTTATCGAAAAATGATTTTAAATATACCAAAATTCATGATTTTTTATTCTCTACAAATAGACATCCATATTGATTAGTTTTAAGATAAAATAAAAAATTTATTTTTTTTATATTTTCAGCTATCGTTATTCATAAGTGAATAAAATGAATCACGTTTTTACACAGTACATGCGTTATTCACTTATGAATAAAAAACTATGATTAATTTTTTTTTTACAATTTAAGTATCATTCATATATGAATATAGCATATAATACACATAGTAGATCATATTAAATATTAGACGATGCATTCACTTGTGAATATTACATAGTATATTCACTTGTGAATATTACATAGTATATTCACTTGTGAATATTAGATGATATATTCACTTATGAATATTAGATAATATTTTCATATCTGAATATTACATAGTATTACATGGTATATCACATGTGAATATTACATAGTATATTCACTTGTGAATATTAGATGATATATTCACTTATGAATATTACACAGTATATTCACATATGAATATTACAAGGTATTTTCACAAATATGTATAATTTTTATATGTTATTCACATATGAATAACATACAGACTTTCATATTTGTTTTTTTTTGTTTTAACCATATATTATGATTCAGGTGAGAAAACATATTCATATATGAATATTAACGTGGTAATTTAGTTTATGCATTTTCATCAAACAGTTGGAGTGCATACAATTTAACTTTTTTTAAAATGTTTAAAAACATGATACTTTGACTATTTAAATCTTACAAAATAGTAGATTGATAGATGGAAAAGAATATATGAAATTTTCAAAAAAAAAAAACGATTTGATCTTTTTCTAATCTCATTTAACGTTTTATTGATAATCGATGTTGAATGAATGATATGAAGTGTATTTTTTTGTTGATTATCGATGTGTGTGATCTAATGACGCTGGGAGTATAATTATCGTAGATGTTGAAGATCTGATCGTATTCACGCAGAATTGAAGGTGGATTAAAAGAACCAAAAACGAATTTTTGTTGTTAACTGTTTGAATCGTGTTGATAAACATGTTATGACGAAGATCGATGATTGATTAACACTGGATGATGTTGATGATGGTTTAATTGAAGAATCTGGATGATTGTTGAAGGTTGGAGGAGAAATTTGGATGATGAACGATCGATTAGAAATTGGTTTGAACTTTTATCTATTTCTATCCAGTTACGTATTTTGAGATCGAAGGTTATTATCAATTTACAAGTTTGCCACCGTGTCTTTTTATGCTTAGATTAAATGAGTGGCTGAGAAGATTCCCCCATTCTCAATCTTTTTTATTTTCTCAATTGAACCCACCTCTATATATAATATATATACTATATAATATATATATATATATATATTATATATATATATATATATATATATTATCTATATAATATAGCACCAGAATATTCCATAACTATCAAGTTATAGTTTTAATTACCAACTGATTAATGCAGACGTTAGAATGACAAACATACGAAAACCCAACTGACGCTGATGCACGGCTAATCTCCTCCGTGGCCAAACAATGATACAAATAACCTACATCGAGTCCTCCATATTCAGCTGCATGCATTAAAAAGAAAGATTGGTTTTACATTTGACCCAACACCTTGATCAACACATAATATAATATATATATATATATATATATATATATATATATATATATATATATAAGGTTGCAGATATACCCAATGGCGGAGCGTATACTTAGAGGGGTCCATGCATCCCACTTGGAAATGGAACCCAACATATATTCATACACTATTTTATTTTATTTACAAAACTTTACAAATGGTCCTTTTGCGTTTCAAGTTTTCCTTAAAATAGTCCTTATGAAACAGTATTTGTATGGATAGTCCATTTGGAGCAAATTTTATGCAAATGATCTTTATGACTATCTTTGTTAACAGATTATGTTGAGTGTATGCAAAATGATGAAAATGCCCTTTGTTTTTTGCACATAAATAGTCTCTCTCTCTCTCTCTCTCTCTTAAAACTTAGGAACAAGGTCTTACACTGAAGAACAAGATGGCGATTGTAAATTACAGATGGAGATTGTAAAATAATAATCGTTGCTCGTCGAAATCATGAATGGTTTACCGAATCTGTAAGATGCCTAGGATCGCTATCATTGTTCAATTTCAAGTGTGGTACCAATCTCTAATTGCAATTCTTATAGGAGAGGCGTTAATCTAAGTCAAAGGCGGTAAAACACATAAAGTAGGGGGAGAGAAGGGGATGTCGAAACAAGGAGTTACATGGCCGATAATTACGACTTGCAAGATGGAAATCTGATGCGCACTCTTTCGTCTCCTCCTAATCAATTGCCAATCGATCATCAAAATCACCTTCTGCATCTCTCAGTTTCTTACTCAAACACTTTCTTGCAATCATCCCGATGTGTCAAAAGTAAGGTGACGTGGACCAAAATAGGGCGACTGGGTGACCTCTTCTCTCACAACCATCACTGACCACCGCTATACCATCTAACCACTAATGGTATCCATAAATTAATCAGACATGCTGGGGTTTTTCACAACAAGGATTTAATACGTAATTTTTAGGGTTTTCTTACTTATGTGCTACAATGGATAATAACTCCCATAATTTCAGTTCACAGGTAATCTTGATGATAAACTGAAGCGCTTTCTTGGAGTCTTGAAAACTCATTTTCCAAACATGGGTTTTGCTCTAACTTTGTTCTTCAGGTCACACTTTGGTCAATAACAAGAACATCCCACACCCATTCCCAATATATATGAGTTCTTCATCTCTGATTTCTTTCAAAAAAAAATGAGTATTTTAAATTCTTCGATTTCTCATGTTTACAATTTTTCTTTACTCATTTGTTCATGGTAAGATGTTTTCTATGATACCAATCAAGAACATGTCATAGGTCTAAATGCTCCTAATTTGGGTTTTTCTGGTTCAATCACCGATAACACAATCGACAAACTGTAGCGACCTCCCCGCCGGAAAGGATCTGCATCACAAGGTTGGGGAACACAAAAATGGAGGTCCAGTTTGTTTCAATTGTGAATAGGATTTTATTTTGACATCGTGTGAACATTTCATAAACCTTTTGATACATATTTGATGTTGGTTTTGGTTTGATGTTTTGTATGTGTGTGTGTGTGAGAGAGAGAGAGAGAGAGAGAGAGAGAGAGAGAGAGAGAGAGAGAGAGAGAGAGAGAGAGAGAGAGAGAGAGAGAAAAGGACTATTTATGTGCAAAAAACAAAGGTTGTTTTCTTAATTTTACATACACTTATCAGAATCTGTTAACAAAGATAGTTATAAGGACCATATGCTTGCAAGGTTTGCTCTACAGGGACCATCCATGCTAAAAATATTTCATAAGGACTATTTTAGATAAAATTAAAAAGCAAAAGGACCATTTGTGAAAATTTCTATTTTTTTTTTAATTAGAGTTCTTCGTTTAGCACTACTCTTTAAACGTTCTTTCTTTGCCATGAATATCAACGGGTTAGTTAAATTTTAATTTTTTTAATTTTTATTATATTAATTAATAAAATGTACCACTATTACCTTAAGGTCTGTATACGCCACTAGATATACGTACCTGGAGCGGTAAGTCCATGAAGATCAAAGTCTCCCATTGCTTTCCATAAGTTAACATCCTGCAACAGAAGTTCTAATACAACAATTAGTTATTTTCAACATATTATAAGTATCTATGAAACATATATAGAAAAATGCATCATTTATTTTCTAAGAACCTCCGGGAAAGAATCTGTCTTGTCGATTTTGTCTGCATGAGGAGCTATCCTCTCTTGGGCAAATTGTTGAACACCTTCTTTGAACTGCAGTCATGATTGCAAAAGGTTGTAGTAAAACTCATCAATCAATCGTCTTAGAGGTTACTAATACATAAATACAAGAATAATAACAGTCGTCCATTTTATAACTCACAAACAATAAAAGAAAGAATAATATATTATATATCTATATTATATATATATATATTATAGATATATATATATATATATATATATATATATATATATACCCTTATTTGTGTTTCATCGAATAACAAAGAGGTTGAGAAGGAAGCAGCAGCTATTTTCCGTCGTGATACTGTCGTTCCATGCACCACAATTTGGTCTAAGTACTCTCAGTGATCTCTGCATCGATCGGCTTGGACTTCTCGAATCAGATAAATTTAATATCCGAGAAAGAATGATTTCCAAAATATCTATTTAATGTTATTAATGAGCCATGCCCTTCTGTGTCTCCATACCATACATATAAATACGATGAGTAAACTTCCAAAAGTCAACAACATTTAAAAATGGATTTTCTAAATGCACATGTAAAATTCTTAATGCATGAACATCACCTAATTTTTGTTCATCGTTATCAATGCTCAATTTTGCTATTAATATAAAATCACCTTATCTTATTTAAAAACAAATGCGTTTGAAAAAAGGTTGTAGAATATAGATGTTTTGAAAATGTTTGTAGAAATAAGGCTATAGAGTATTATTCACAAAAAGAAGTTCTAAAATATCATTGTTACATCATCTTCGTTACATCATTATTATATCCCTACTAAGCTTACTAAACTTATGAAATAATAACCAGTCCACCACTCCATATATTTATATCTTTTTATTTTTTATTTATTTTAATACATTTAAAAAACATAACATATTCTAAGCAAAATAATTAATAAACATTACCTTAATAAAAATAAAATAAATATATAAAATTAAAACTACCTTAATCTAAAAATTAAAATTACATTAGAAACCTCTTTCAAAAAAAAAAAAAAAATACATTAGAAACTTACTTCAAAAATAAAAATTAAACTAAAATTAGAATTGTCATATTTTTCTTGAATTTTCTAGTTGGATTTTAAAAAACGCTTATATTTGTTGGCAGAAGTACAACGTCTCAAATTTTAAACAAAAATTTTCATTTAAAATCCGATTAACATTTGAGTATATTCCTAAAAATATATTATATTATCCTTTTGTTTCAGAAACATAAGCTTAAACATAGTTTATTTATTAAACCAGCGGAAGTCAAAAACAATAAATCTTCGATGCGAATGTACAGTTACGTCGTATCCTTCCCTCGAACAACCTTAAAAACATTTAAGTTAACAACATAAGCATAAAGTTTAATGAGTTCTCAAGTATACCAAATATTCTATCATAAATATAATGCATACAAGCAAGGCTCTCAACACTATAGTCGATCCACCATCATCCCTATCAAGCGTACATATCAACATTACATATACAATCATTGGCACCCTACCATCATACCCCTGCCAGCTCTCAGACACCAGCACTCAACCATCATACAACCACCGACTCTCAGTCGTCCCACAATCATACATAAGTTACTGTTAATATTAAAGGCTCGCCAATGTATAGTCATGCGTAGTAAGAAAATAAGATAGTCAGTCGAACATGTGTTCCTTCCCTAAGGCATTTATCAAACAAGAACAGACAATAAGGTCGGATCAAGAGTTCTAAGGCTATCTGAATTAAACTACATAAAGCCCCTAAAACATTCATTCAATAATCAACCAATACTAACAATACTCCAACTAGACATGACACATAAAAGTATCATACAATCAGACAATCACATACCCAACAAATACTATCTTATTCAAATAGCATACTTGTTCCCTGATACAAAGCATATGCAGTGTCATACGCAATATAGTGAGAAAACGCATCTGATCAGTAGGTTCGATGATAGGATACAAACAAGTATGAACAATACGATTATCATAAAGATGGTTTTCACTAATAAGAGTTCTCATAAAGAGAGCGAGGTGCACAAAGTGTCTATTAGGGTTGAACCCTATTACAAGAATATATATATATTATATATATATATATATATATATATATATATATATATATATAGAAAGACTATTACAGAAATCTCTACATTAACGGAATCGTATCAAATCTATAATATAGAGTGGTCCAAATCACAAATATATCAGATCAGTCATCTAACAGCTAAAGTTACTATAATTACAAATACAAACTAAATTGTACAAATGATACACGCGGACGCTGGTCTTCACAAGTACACACTGGCGCTGGTGCTGGTGGTCAACGTGTGAAAGTGTTTGACTCATCAGATTATAAGGTTCGAACTTTCAATCTCCCCCAATATGATGATGTCAAAATTAATCGCCAGAGAATGAAATAATAGAAGAACCAACTATCTGAAGTAGAATGCTGATATTTTCTCCCCCTTAGATTCAGCTCCCCCTCGAAAAAACAACAGTTGAGTTTTTGTATCTCCCATATTTCTCTCTAGGTATTAATAAGATGATTTAATAGTTAGGGTCAATGATTGTAACTTATTTGATATAATAATGGAGAAATTATTTGAGAATTATGTGATTTATGAGTGATTATTTGTAGTATACGTGCTTACGGAAATACAATAAAATAAGAATAAAATACGCGTCTAAATAGAATAATAATTAGGACGAATACGTTTGACGAAAGATTGAAGTAATCGTGATAAGGATTCTGGGGTTATAAGGAACGCTTAAATCAGACTTATAGAGAAGAAGTTATGGTCTGTCGAAGTTTCCCGATTCGACCAAATTTGGCAACGCGCGTCGTAGACAGTAAGTTTTTTTTAGGTTACTTTTTAGCCTTAGTGGTCTAAACAAAAGTCTTAGTAGATGTTAAACCAAGAACGTACATATAGAGAACGTCCAAATATGACTTCATTAGAGGAGGTTATGATTTTTCTAAGATTCAACGTAACAGTAGACAACTCAAATATCGAATTTTAGCTTGGTTGATTGTTAGCTGAAACAATCTAAGAGAGAGTTGAAGACCTCGTTAATGGGATACCAACAATAAAAAGACAGTTAAAAACGGACGTCAGATGACAAAGTTATGCATTTTATATGGGCGTTAACAGTCTAAGCTTGTGTAAAATAAATAAAGTCAAAATTAGCCGACAGAGTCTAAATGAAAGTTGTAGATCCCATGATAGCTACGCTTAAATATGAAGAACATCGAAAATAGAGCTCGTGTAAAAAAATGCACAATTTTGAAGTTTAAGTTCCGTTGTACGTGTCTGCGTCCAGCACACGTCCTTCTAGAAGCCGTTGTAACATCCCGATGTTCAGATACTTTTAACTCTTTCCATTACATGATAATTGGTCTAGTGGTTGCATTCTTGGGGTTTAGACACGATGTGTTGGAGGAACCAACACGGCATGTCTAGTCATTAAAAGACGCATGTTTTAGCTGAGCAACATGACGTGTTTTCCCTCTGAACACAACGTGTTGACCGATGTGTGTGAAACCCTAATATTCCGGGGTTTATTCCCCTATTTGAGGAATATGGGGGCTAGGGTTTGTCCACCCTCAGCCTCCATCTGCTCTCTCAAGCTCAAGAAGAAACCCTAATCTTTTCCTCTCCCAATTGTGAAGATAGTTGGTGTTTTGAAGGAAGAAGGTGAAAGACGGAAGCAAGGATTCGGTTAGCAAGCACATACTTCGGTGTAGCACTCTCTTAGGCCATTGTAAGTGTCCAAGTCCTGATTTTTATCAATCATAGTCACTAGATCTTGAGATATGTCCCATTTTCTATTTGTTATGGGCTGATGCATGGAGGGATCTCATAAAGTTTGCAACTTTATGAATCTCCAGGTCAAGGAGACCTTGTAGTGGCTTGGATCTGGTTTCAACCAAAGTTTTGATGCCATGCATAGAAAGTAGGTCATGAATTCCATTTTTACCTCAAGACATGCATTGGACATGCATGTCTTAAAAGCACAAATCTTTGGAATGGTTTAGGTGGTTGAACCACTTCTAGAAGGAAGTGACTTTGGATCTTAAGGATTGAGGACTGTATGGTTAAGCCCTTGCATGGTTAAGCATGTAGTTTGGATTTTTGGACCTTTTGTGGTCCCAAAGGGTAAAGTTGAAAACTTTATCCTTCCTAACCACATTCCTAGTCCAGATCTGAGCCTTGGAGCTCTTAGGATAAAAAAGGTAGCTGAATATCTTAAGCTATTGGGAATCTGGCGAACACAGCGTGTTGGCTGAAGTTTTCCTGTCTGAGGAACTGTTCGCGGAACACGGCGTGGTAAAAAGGGAACACGGAGTGTTGGGTCAACCCAGACCGTTAACCTTGACCATTGACTTTGACCTTGAGGGTATTTTGGGCATTCTGGGTCTTGATGGAATTGGTCATTTGGTGGTTGTAGGCATTTGAGTTGAGAGATGAGATTAAGAGAAGAACCTTATCAGTTTTGCGCTGCTTGTAAGGTGAGTTGTTCTTACTGTACTTGCGGGTCGAAGGCACCAATGTCGGCCCATTGGATTGATATACTGTTATGCATGCTATTGTATCGTTATGATCTGTTAGATTGGTATCCTGGTAGATAGGATGTTGCTATGCTTAGTGATCTGTAGATCTGTGTATCTGGCTATAGACTGTTATTAGATTATCTGTTATATGTGCACATGGTTGGTCGGTGGCTGAGGCTTCACTGCTTTGTGTGTAAGCCAACAGGCTGGGGCATTCCAACCTGATGGTTGAGGGCCTAGGGTATTCCATCCCGAGGGTGATTGGACCCACAGTATGTTGGCATTTCAACCCGATGGTTGAGGGGCCTGGAGTATTCCAACCCAACGATTGACTGGACCTATAGTATGTTGGCATTCCAACCCGATGGTTGAGGGGCCCGTGGTATTCCATCCCGAGGATGATTGGACCTATAGTATTTTGCTTTGTTTATGTGTTATTCTTTGTGTGTTGGTATTTTAGGGGAAACTCACTAAGCTTTGGGCTTACAGTTTTCGGTTATGTTTCAGGTACCTCAAATGTTCGTGGGAAGCCAAAGGCTTGATCGTGCACCTCCTCATGTTGTGTTTTGTGATTTTGGGAAAACTCTGATGATAAACATGTTTTGAAAACTACAATGTAGACAATTATGATTTTTGAATGGTTTGAAAAAGTTTAAATTTTTATGAAATTTTATGGATGTTACAAGTTGGTATCAGAGCCTTGGTTTGATTGAATTGGAGGAACACTCATGTGAATCCAGTCTCAAACTAAGGGAAATTATTTTTAAAATGATTTTCAAATGGTTTTCAAAATAATTGAGGAGGATGCAAGGTGTACGATCAGCCGGAGCCAGTAAGTGACCCCAAATTACCACACTAATTATTTGAGATTATGTTATGTTATGATTAGAACAGCATGCTAGTGATAGGCTAGGAATCTTCAGGAATTGCAT